AGCAGGTGCCTGGTGCTGGGCCACTGCAGTGAGCAGGCTTTTGCTGAAGAGCCTGGAGGGAGAGGGAAGCACTTTGTAGCAGATCCACGCGGTGTAATTTATCACCACACAGCCCTGGGCTACGACATCTGGCATTCTCAATGAAGTACCTGAAGGCAGCTTGGTAGGGCTCTATGAAGATCAATGATACACCAAAGAATACCATTAAAAGACACATTCATCTTCCCCTAATCAATAATGGCCTTAAAATGATCTCCGCGACACACTACTCTTACAGGCATAGCTGTTGGGCTGCTTCAGCTCACTTGTCATCCTCTGGCTCAAGTCTTATTACTGGCAGCTACTTCACACACTCCCCTTGGTGGAGGAATTTGGCTGCCTCCGAAACTTAAAACACAGAGAAAGGAATTACAAAAGTGGCATCAAGTTCAGTGAAGATAGTGACGCACCTTCAGTCTCTCCAATAGCCTCTGATACAAATAGTGCATGTGGCAAGTGATTTGTTTTCTTTTATCAGACCAAAACAGGCTACCCTTACACACCATTCATACATTTTATCAAGCCACTGGCAAGGGGATTCAGAATTAATGAGAAGCATCCTCAGATATGAATAAACAGCAATTAAAGTGAAAGAAGCAGCAGATTTAAAAGGCAAAGTTTGATTTAAATTTTTTTGCGTAGGTGAAGCTTTAGTGCAAATTTGTGTTCCCTCCACCAACAGTAATTCTTTTCCTTCTGGGATGAGCTTTATCCACTGGATGGAAAGCCAAGGGACAGCCCCTGATGCAAGGATGTACTGAAGCAGCATCTCAGGGGTGCCAGGGTCCTGTAAACTTCTTGATCAGGCGGGTCTGTGTCCAGCCTTACGGTTGAGCATGGACAGAAAGTCATCTGCTTTTACTACCTGGCTAGAGTTCAGTTCTCCTTCATTAAAAACATCATTAAACAAATGAGATTTCATTAGGATCTTGATAGATATTCATTTGATAGGGGTCACAATGATAGAATCATAGAATTGTTTTTTCTTGGATAAGACCTTTAAGATTATTGAGTCCAACCATTAACCCAGCACTGCCACATCCAGCACTAAACCATGTCCCTGTGTACCACATTTACATGTCTTTTAAATACCTCCAGGAATGGTACTATATAATTGGTTCTCCTGCACCTAAACCATAGTTCCACTCAAGCCACCAAGTTCAGATCTGATCCCCTTGTCCTGGGAAATCCAAACCTCATGCATTTATTTGAATCAAAAATTGTGCTTGAGAAAAGTACTCTCATGGGCTGAGCTGAGAGGCTACACTCCTATAGCATCCAGAATTGGTAGCTTTGCAACTGAGCCTTTCATAGAGTCATAGGATCATTTTGGTTGGAAAAGACCTTTAAGATCACCAAGTCCAACTGTTAACCTGGCACACTGCACAGTCAGCCACTAAACCACATCCCCAAGCACTACATTTACACATCTTTTAAATACCTCTGGGGATGATGATTTCACCACTTCTCTAGGCAGCCTTTTCCAGTGCTTGACAACCCCCTAAGTGAATAAATTTCTCCTAATATCCAATCTAACTCTCCCCTGGCACAACTTGAGGCCATTTCCTCTTGTCCTGTCCCTTTGCCCAGAAGATTCTCCCATCTGACACTGAAACTTGCAACTGTGAAAAGGTTTATATATACTTACAAAACAATTACAGCTAGTGATGCAGAAGTAAATCCCATGCCAAAAATATTTCAGAAATTAGGAGAAAGTAGAACTCAATTTTGATTATAATTAGGTTCCCTGTGGTTAGTTAAATGTTTTCTCATTTACTCTTTCATTCTACCAATGTAATCAGTCACCTGGTTCCTTATGAACTATACACCACAGCATACACACAAAACTGGCTGGAGATAGACTCATGACCAGCTTCTGCAAATGTGATGCCCCAGGCAGGAAATAATCATGGGACACATACTTATTAGGAAAAATAATAATAATAGTAATTAAAGAACACAGCTTAGCTCCACTTTATTGCTTAAAACTAATGTAGTTATTATATTGAGCAACAGGACTTTTAATTTCTAATTACAGTATTTATCTTCCTAAACAGATTTCACAGTTGTTGCAAAGACCTGGATAATTGTTTCATGTGAGCAATTAAATAGTAAGACCAAATAAACAATATTCTTTGGATAACTACGTTGAACTATGTAATTATTTAGGAAAACAAAAATTAATCAACAGTTTACATTTTTTACCTTCTGGAGAAGAAACCAGTTTGGGAATTTCTTATTAAAAGGGGAAGGATTTTTCATTTCTTGTAACATTCAGATTAGTTCAGAGAGCTACTTGCAAACTGGATCTGTATTTGCAACATAAGAACTCTGAGGAATGTTTTTCATTACTTAAAACAAACTATTTTTGAGTATAAGACTGCTCAGTGTGATTTTATTTTCCTTTAAAGGGAAAGGAAAGGTTGGCAGGGAAGCTGGAACAGGATGTAACAAAAAAAAGTAACATCTCCATATCTTTCTTTCTTTGATTCCATTCTGTTCCAGCTTCTCTGCTTTGCAGGATGAATCAATAAAATATATTCACACCTTTAAAGGAACACAGAAACAGAGCAGCTCCAGCAAGTACCCCGTCTCCTACCAGTAGGTACATTAAGATGGGTCTTTGTGATTAGGTAGGTGCCTTGTATAGGCTCTCACTGAGGCTCACCAGCAGTTCATTAGTACTGCTCTAATCCCAAGACCACTCTGCATTCCCACTTAAACACTGCATTTCAGCTGAACAGCAAATGAAGTGCAATATATGGTTTGGATTTTGCTGTGGGTTTTGTTTTGCTGGAAGTTGCATAGAGTGGGTAGGATAGCATTTACCTCCTGCCACAGCCATGGTTCACATTTTGCAGTGCAGTTTTAAGTACCTTCTAGGCTGTTCATCACTTTAAACATTCAAACAACATTTTAACCTGAAATATTTCCTAGATCAAGATATTGATATTTCATTGTATTTGCTTGAGACAGGAAACAAACGAAATATTTTGTTTAACCTTTAATTGTTAGCTGCCCAGAAAGTAGCATAATAAAATCATGCCAACTATTCCCCAGATAACTATGTATTTGTGCATCCATATGTGTTCATTTCAATGTATTATCAGTATTAACCAGCTGTTCTCTTTACTAAGTACAGGGAAAACAAGCAATACTCTAAATGTGGATGTTGTCACACCTAATTGCCCAAAATAAACCTGACAATCTTCTAGGAAAATGCATTGCAGATATCACTACATTGCTCACTAAGGGATGTCTCCTGAACAGTAAAAACAGAGCTTGGAATGGCAGAAAACACCGGTGTTCTCACCCAGGTTTTAAATACCAAAAACTTTCTAAAACATAGTGATTGCAAAACTTTGAGCTTACAGATATTCCTCTCTCTTGGCTGCACTTGGATCCATATGAGCACAGCTGAGCAACTGCCCTGGTATTTGCAGGTTTTTTTTGATGAGGAAAAAAATGTCAAGCTATGAAAAAACTTAAAGAAAGGGAAAATTTTATTTGGAAAGCATACACGACAAAACCACTCATCCCCTAGAAATCCAGGCATGTTTTATAACTAACAGTTTTATAAAGAGGAGGCAAATTTCAGAGCCAGAAACCTGTGAGTACCAACAGTCCCAGACAATTTATAATTCTGTACCATAAATAGCTGGTCCATAATTCATTGACGGAGAGTTAATGAGAATATTTGTAACTAATACCCAAAAGAAAGATAAAAGGTGGTATAATGTGGTTTATACTTTCCTTCCATACTTTTCAAGGACAGCAGGGAAAGCTTCCTGACAGCAAAAAAGCAACAAGAAATATTGCACTGACCTACCGATTTCCTCCATTCCCATCAAAGTAATCCATGTGTAGAGACATTAAAGAACAATTTGTCCCAACTGACAGTTTCCAAATAACTAGATGCCTTTTAATTGCTGGCATCATTAACCTTAACGGTATAATTGTGTAGCTCCAAATAATAATAATAGTAGTATAATTTCCTCTCACTTCCAAATTGTTTAGCAAAACTAGAAAAAAATGATGTGCAGAATAAATTCTAAGAAGGAAGAGAAAGGGGGAAAAGTTCCTAAAAGATAAGAACAGGAACTTTTATCAGTTTCACCTGCCACAGCTCACAACCTTTAAGGAGTAAGTATCTGCACATAAACTTCTTCAGACAAGTAATAAATATTAATAATTGCCAGCTGCCTGTAGGCTTTAAGTGACCTTTTCAAACAACATGTCAGCTCTCCCCATCCCGAGGACACACTGTGAAATGCTGTATAAAACCAGCATTGTCTTGAATGATTAATTCCTGTGCACACCCAGGCTTCAGTAACAGTACCTGCTAGAGTAGCACCCATGGAAGACAGGGTGACAAGAGGCCTTTCCTATCTAGTCTGGAGTTCATGAGACACACAAGATTGGGTACGGGTCGTGGCAAGTGGCCTCTGCCCTCAAGAGAGAGGGAATGATATGTCTAAAAGGCAATTCAGATTCCATGATTTGGAAGACCCTCTGAGGGTAGTAGATGGCTTAGTCTGTACCCAGTTGCTTATGAGATGCATTTGGATTAGAAACTTCTATCATGTTTCAAACATGATATAGTACATGTGAAGGGAAAGAAAAATTCATTTTGCCCGGCAAGTCTAACTCAGTAATTGTCACTGGCATAAACAACCACACCATTCCATTGCTTCTGCCACAGTCATCTTCATGGAAAGGGAAGGACCAAACAGAGAACTTTGTTCTGCTTTAGGAAATGTAATGTAGCAAATGTTTGATTCAGCACATAAACACCTGGGTGAAGAGCACCACTCTTCCGGGAGAGACAGTTACTTTCAATACATGCATAAGTGCAGTATTAAATATAAAACCCATGCTGTGTGGTTCCCTATGTCAGTTAAAAACACGGAACTAAATGATAAAACCTAAATATTAATCTTTGGGAGAAAAATCTCAATGGAAAGCAAGGACTGAGGAAGAACAGGCTCCTGGATAATGTGTAAGGCTGGTCCTTGGCTCCATTCCGGTTTTTGGCCATTGTTACAGGCTTCCAGTTGTCCTTTACCAGTCTCTCCATCATCCCTTGACTCTTGACTCACACACGAAACGGGGATCACAATTCTTAGCTCCTTTAGGTAGTGCTTGGAGGCTCATTGATAAAAAGCTAATAAGTAAAATGAAGTTTTATACAGTAATTATATTGTCCTGAAAGACAAAAGGTATACAAAGAGGGCAGTCCTTCAGCTCTGAACAGTAAAGCATACTTCACAAAAATAATTATTTAATGACAGTTAAAAATGAAACTAAGCTAGAAGCTTACAAAACGTCAGATTTTCATACCTTCAATTCTGCATTAGGTACACTGATTTTTCAGTGAGAAGCTGCATCCAACAGCAGTGAACACTTGACTCTTGAATCTATATTCTCTGATGAGCAGTACTATTCTGTTTCCTGCAAATATATTTCCAGGGAAGAGCCCAAGTTTGTCTTCCTTGAAGCATTCATTGATTCCAATACTATCCTTACACTGCTGGTCTTGAGTTTGGTCTGACCTATGCTGAGGCTTCTGTGTCTACCCCATTCTGATGCACTACAGCAGTCAATAGTTACTCTCCACAAATCTTTCTTCCCTGGAGTATAACGTGATCAGTAAAAAATATAGATAGGCACTCGTGTACCTTCAGATGTGCTATTTTGATTCATGGGAAAAAGGTGCTGAGCTTCAAAGTTAGCCACAGACATACTTAATCCCCTAACTAGAAAGGTTAGGAGTAGTCTGAGGACATGTGTGCTCTGTCCCAGGTATTTTGAAATTCAACACTTTTGCTGAATATTACATTCTCCTCCTCACTCTGTGCTCAGAGTTGGTGCTTACATAGGAATCTAAAATCAAATTGTGGATAATTATATCAAAAATCAAGAGAAAAAATCAAGAACAAAACCAAAATTGGAGTAACAGATGTTTCTGCAACAGCTCAGCTCTAGCAAAGCTAGCTCCAGTGCATTATGAATACTCTTGTTAAAGGGGACATTTAAACACTGCTGTTCTCTTGAGCTGCCTTGTTGAGATATATGGAGCAGGAGTATTACACATGGAACTCCCAGCTGAAAAGTAAAAAGCTTGAAACATCCCATAAGACAACCAGTAGGAATCATGTCATCAATCATCTCCAAATTTTATCTAATCCACTCTCATAAACTGTTATTTAATATGGCTTTGTCTGGAGAGAGCTCCTAGGAGAGCTCCTGCTTCCAAACAGGGAAAGACAAAAAGAAAAAAGATCTGTTGTTAATCTTTCATGCTAAGAAAACAAGATTGAACTAATAAAATACAATTAGCAAATCTGTTCAGTGCAGTGAAATCCAGCCAAGCTTGCTGCTGTAAAACTTTCTGCATTTTTGTTACTGCCATCTTTTTGTCTTACTCGTACATTTATGTAAATGCTAAATTATTCTCTTTTTAGTTGCACAGTTTAGGTATTCTATCAGGATAACTGGACAATGCAATTGGGGCAGAAACATTCCTCTGTGAAAAGCTCTGGAAAGGTGGTGCATTTTTTATTTGCCACTAAAAATCCCTTTTGTCTTAATCTTCTCTACAGACACCCTTAGGGCTATGAGAAGAAAATAATCAAAAAGAAACATGCAAGTTGCCTCTTACAAAATGCTGATAGCATGTACCTGGAAGTGATATTTTCCTCCATGAATACCTCAACCAAATATTATTGCTTTTTGTCACCTATAAAAACTATGTGTTATTTTTAGGCAGCAGACTAGCAGTTACATATTGAGAGATAGCTGTATAAATCGCATTTGCTACATGCTGCATAGCAAGAGAGTTGACATTTCTTGGGAACAAGTCACCACAGACACAGAGCTCTGCATTACACTCGATATTCGGAGATGTTGTCTGTTAGGTTGTAACAGCTGTGGCCAAATTTTGCTTAAGAACGCACCAAAAGAGTGCAAGCATACCAAGCTTCCTAAAAAATGACTGCTGTAGAAGAGTTAGAAGAGAAGAAGTTTGGCTACTAGAAACATGCAAGGCTCCAGGATCAGGTAACTGAATCTCACCTTAAACAAGCTAATCTTCCCTGAGATGAAGATGAACTAGAAAACTGACTCTTTGGGATCTCTGAATTGAAAAACATTTTTAATTTTGCAACTGTTCACAGAAAAGGAACTCTGCAGGGAAACCTGTGATCCAAAATATCTGCTCTGTGTAAATGAAGGTGATACCATATGTTAAAAACATACTTCTGACAGTTACAATTAGCAAAGAGCAGTTTTGCTATTGATGTGCTTTAACAAGATACTAAGACTAAGACTTTAAAAGGAAGGTTACACGCAGGATTAAACATTGAGAAAAAAAACATGTACACTTCCAGGAGCTCTTGCTTAATTTTATAAAAGCTCAAGAACAGTTTGTCCCAGACCACAGAAATGGATTATCTGATTGGATGAAGAGTAATACTGAGAGTCATGTCTCCTGCCTTTAGGTTTTCTGTTTGCTCATTAAAGCTGGGAAGGGTTATTCCACATAACTTTTCAGACAGGCCTGAATAATATTGCCTTTCTGTAAAGCTCTTACTAGGACACAACTGCAAATTATAAGACTGAGTCACCTGCAGTAGTTTCATTCGTGTGTTACTGATACTTTCTGGACTTTTGCCACTGAAACTAGATTTTTCAACTTCTCCGTTGGTACATGGCTGTTGTATATGTATGTATATGTATATATATGTATGTATAGATATATACATACATATTTAAACACTTGTAAAGAAGTAGTTTACATTTTGATGCTTAGTGGATCAAATCCTTCAGCAAGCACAAGGTAGGTATGTTGTAGGCTTCTTTACTTAAGCTGACCAGATGGCCACATAATCCAACTGGCTGAGCTGGTCCTAGGTGACAAAGAAAGAGAAGACCGATAAAAATGCCATACAGGAAATGATGATGAAATAAGAGTTAAAAAGAATAAGAAAATAAATTTAAAAAGGAGTTACTGCTTCAAGTTGTGTCCAGGAGAAGGCATTACACCCATTTGCCTGCAACTAATGGCAATATTAAACTGCACAGTTCTGATGAGGCTTGCTAGTCTCATTCTCTGTCAGCATCCCTGGAACTTCACCAGGGAAGGTACAACACTCCTCACCCCAGTTAGTGGGCCAGTAAATAGCAAACAGCTCACAGTCTGCTCTCCTGAAGCCCTGGGTAGTGAGCTTGCTGTGCACCCTCCTCGCTGCCCTCAGGATCTTGAACTCCACCATCTCATGGTCATTGCAGCCAAGGCTGCCTTTGAGCTTCACATTCCCCACCAGCACCTCCTTGTTGGTGAGAACAAGGACCAGCATAGCACCTCTCTCATAGGTTCTTCTATCACTTGGAGAAGGAAGTTATCATCAGCAAATTCTAGGAACCTCCTGGACTGCTGGTGCCGTGCTGTGTTGTCCCTCCATCAGACATCAGGGTGGTTGAAGTCCCCCAGCCAGAGGGACCTTGACCTGTGCAAACCGCCTGACGTTCAACACAAACAAGTGCAAGGTCCTGCACGTGAGTCGGGGCAACCCCAAGCACAATTACAGGCTGGGTGGAGAACAGATTGAGAGCAGCCCTGATGAGAAGGACTTGGGGGGTGTTAGTTGGTTAAAAGCTCAACATGAGCCGGTAGTGTGCACCTGCAGCCCAGAAAGCCAACCGTGTCCTGGGCTGCATCAAGGGAAGCATGGCCAGCAGGTCGAGGGAGGCGATTGTGAGACCCCACCTGGAGTACTGTGTCCAGTTCTGGAGCCCTCAACACAAGAAGGACATGGAGCTCTTGGAGCAAGTCCAGAGGATGGCCACAAAGATGATCAGAG